AAGCACTTAAAAAGGACGATCAACATCTAACGAGAATATATATATTTTAACTAATATTAAGATTATAAACTTCTTTTTTGTTTACAAATATGAAAATAGCAATTTATTTAATAACACATAACACAAACGATAATATTTAGTATTCAAAAATAAACCCTAACATTGTCTTTATATTCTTGAATTGGCACACACTATAAGTGCTACAAAAGGGTACTTTTCTCCTGAGCCTAATATGAGTTCGGGATAGTTTCTATAAGAACGGCAGGAGTACAAAATCTGAAAATGTATATTTTAGCAGTACAAATTATGTTATTTACTGCAAAAGTAACTATTGATTCTGCTCGTGCAAAAGGATACTTTACTCTTGAGCCCAATATGAAATTAGGATAGTTTCTATAGGAACGGCAGAGGTACAAAATTTGAAAATTTATATTTTAGCGGTACAAATTATGTTACTTTTTTTGCAAAAGTAACTATTGATTCTGCTCGTGCAAAAGGGTACTTTACACTTGAGCCTAATGAGTTCGGGATAGTTTCTATAGGAACGGCAGGATACAAATTCTAAAAAAATTATATTTTAACGGTATAAATTATGTTACTTTATTGCAGGAGTAACTATTGATTCTGCTTGTGCAAAAGGGTGCTTTACTCTTGAGCTTAATATAAGTTTAGGTTATTTTCTATAGGAACGGCAGGGGTACAAAATCTGAAAATCAAATTATCTTAGTTTTATTGCAGAAGTAACTATTGATTCTGCTCGTGCAAAAGGATACTTTACTCTTGAGCCCAATATGAAATTAGGATAGTTTCTATAGGAACGGCAGAGGTACAAAATTTGAAAATTTATATTTTAGCGGTACAAATTATGTTACTTTTTTTGCAAAAGTAACTATTGATTCTGCTCGTGCAAAAGGGTACTTTACACTTGAGCCTAATGAGTTCGGGATAGTTTCTATAGGAACGGCAGGATACAAATTCTAAAAAAATTATATTTTAACGGTATAAATTATGTTACTTTATTGCAGGAGTAACTATTGATTCTGCTTGTGCAAAAGGGTGCTTTACTCTTGAGCTTAATATAAGTTTAGGTTATTTTCTATAGGAACGGCAGGGGTACAAAATCTGAAAATCAAATTATCTTAGTTTTATTGCAGAAGTAACTATTGATTCTGCTCGTGCAAAAGGATACTTTACTCTTGAGCCCAATATGAAATTAGGATAGTTTCTATAGGAACGGCAGAGGTACAAAATTTGAAAATTTATATTTTAGCGGTACAAATTATGTTACTTTTTTTGCAAAAGTAACTATTGATTCTGCTCGTGCAAAAGGGTACTTTACACTTGAGCCTAATGAGTTCGGGATAGTTTCTATAGGAACGGCAGGATACAAATTCTAAAAAAATTATATTTTAACGGTATAAATTATGTTACTTTATTGCAGGAGTAACTATTGATTCTGCTTGTGCAAAAGGGTGCTTTACTCTTGAGCTTAATATAAGTTTAGGTTATTTTCTATAGGAACGGCAGGGGTACAAAATCTGAAAATCAAATTATCTTAGTTTTATTGCAGAAGTAACTATTGATTCTGCTCGTGCAAAAGGATACTTTACTCTTGAGCCCAATATGAAATTAGGATAGTTTCTATAGGAACGGCAGAGGTACAAAATTTGAAAATTTATATTTTAGCGGTACAAATTATGTTACTTTTTTTGCAAAAGTAACTATTGATTCTGCTCGTGCAAAAGGGTACTTTACACTTGAGCCTAATGAGTTCGGGATAGTTTCTATAGGAACGGCAGGATACAAATTCTAAAAAAATTATATTTTAACGGTATAAATTATGTTACTTTATTGCAGGAGTAACTATTGATTCTGCTTGTGCAAAAGGGTGCTTTACTCTTGAGCTTAATATAAGTTTAGGTTATTTTCTATAGGAACGGCAGGGGTACAAAATCTGAAAATCAAATTATCTTAGTTTTATTGCAGAAGTAACTATTGATTCTGCTCGTGCAAAAGGATACTTTACTCTTGAGCCCAATATGAAATTAGGATAGTTTCTATAGGAACGGCAGAGGTACAAAACTTGAAAATTTATATTTTAGCGGTACAAATTATGTTACTTTTTTTGCAAAAGTAACTATTGATTCTGCTCGTGCAAAAGGGTACTTTACACTTGAGCCTAATGAGTTCGGGATAGTTTCTATAGGAACGGCAGGATACAAATTCTAAAAAAATTATATTTTAACGGTATAAATTATGTTACTTTATTGCAGGAGTAACTATTGATTCTGCTTGTGCAAAAGGGTGCTTTACTCTTGAGCTTAATATAAGTTTAGGTTATTTTCTATAGGAACGGCAGGGGTACAAAATCTGAAAATCAAATTATCTTAGTTTTATTGCAGAAGTAACTATTGATTCTGCTCGTGCAAAAGGATACTTTACTCTTGAGCCCAATATGAAATTAGGATAGTTTCTATAGGAACGGCAGAGGTACAAAATTTGATAATTTATATTTTAGCGGTACAAATTATGTTACTTTTTTTGCAAAAGTAACTATTGATTCTGCTCGTGCAAAAGGGTACTTTACACTTGAGCCTAATGAGTTCGGGATAGTTTCTATAGGAACGGCAGGATACAAATTCTAAAAAAATTATATTTTAACGGTATAAATTATGTTACTTTATTGCAGGAGTAACTATTGATTCTGCTTGTGCAAAAGGGTGCTTTACTCTTGAGCTTAATATAAGTTTAGGTTATTTTCTATAGGAACGGCAGGGGTACAAAATCTGAAAATCAAATTATCTTAGTTTTATTGCAGAAGTAACTATTGATTCTGCTCGTGCAAAAGGATACTTTACTCTTGAGCCCAATATGAAATTAGGATAGTTTCTATAGGAACGGCAGAGGTACAAAATTTGATAATTTATATTTTAGCGGTACAAATTATGTTACTTTTTTTGCAAAAGTAACTATTGATTCTGCTCGTGCAAAAGGGTACTTTACACTTGAGCCTAATGAGTTCGGGATAGTTTCTATAGGAACGGCAGGATACAAATTCTAAAAAAATTATATTTTAACGGTATAAATTATGTTACTTTATTGCAGGAGTAACTATTGATTCTGCTTGTGCAAAAGGGTGCTTTACTCTTGAGCTTAATATAAGTTTAGGTTATTTTCTATAGGAACGGCAGGGGTACAAAATCTGAAAATCAAATTATCTTAGTTTTATTGCAGAAGTAACTATTGATTCTGCTCGTGCAAAAGGATACTTTACTCTTGAGCCCAATATGAAATTAGGATAGTTTCTATAGGAACGGCAGAGGTACAAAATTTGAAAATTTATATTTTAGCGGTACAAATTATGTTACTTTTTTTGCAAAAGTAACTATTGATTCTGCTCGTGCAAAAGGGTACTTTACACTTGAGCCTAATGAGTTCGGGATAGTTTCTATAGGAACGGCAGGATACACATTCTAAAAAAATTATATTTTAACGGTATAAATTATGTTACTTTATTGCAGGAGTAACTATTGATTCTGCTCGTGCAAAAGGGTGCTTTACTCTTGAGCTTAATATAAGTTTAGGTTATTTTCTATAGGAACGGCAGGGGTACAAAATCTGAAAATCAAATTATCTTAGTTTTATTGCAGAAGTAACTATTGATTTTGCTCGTGCAAAAGGATACTTTACTCTTGAGCCTAATATGAGTTTAGGATAGTTTCTATAGGAACGGCAGGGGTACAAAATCTAAAAATTTACATTTTAACGGTACAAATTATGTTACTTTTATTGCAGAAGTAACGATTGATTTTGCTCGTGGAAAAGGAATATGAATTTAGGATAGTTTCTGTCTGAACGGCAGAGGTACCAAATTCTGAAAATTTATATTTCAACGGTACAAATTATGTTGTGTTTTATGCAAAAAGTCACTTTTTTTTAATTATAATAGATTTGGATTTAATTGAAAGTTGTTTCAGGCAGTTTGATTAAATTAATTAGGTTTTTTTAATGTTACAAATTCAGTCCTTTTTAATTTTTAATTTTGTATTTTTCAATGTGGTCCTGCTAGCCTAATATTAAACTAGAAGCAACATGTGTTTTTTTTTGTAAACGGTACATAGTACGAAAAATTGATTGATGGTACAAATTTAGTTTTTTAATTCTACCTTTATTTTATTTTTTATTTAATTTTTTAATGTGGTCCTGCTAGCTTAATATTAAACTAAAAGCATCATGTGTTTTTTTATAAACAGTACATAGTACAAAAAAATTGATTGGTGGTACAAATTGGTACAAATTCAGTTCTTTTTAATTCTACCTTTGTTTTATTTTTTTAATGTGGTCCTGCTAGCTTAATATTAACCTAGCAGCGCCACGTTTTTTTTGAAAATGACACATGGTACAAAATTTTTATTGGTGGTACAAATTAGGTACTAAATAATGTAATAGATCTTAATCAATTCTGCCCAGTTGGTCCTGCCAGCTTAAGAGAGGTCTTTTATTATCGTTTTCCATTTTTGGTTTTGCTAATTATGCATTTATTTTGTACCAAATTGTTAAAGTTATGACCTAAAAAATAAGTTATGGGCTTTTTTAACAGGTTGATAATGAAATAAACAATTTCAATAAAATATATTTTTTAAATAAATAAAGCTTCATTTCCATATACAATATATTTTTTTATCTAATATTTATCAAAGTGTCAACAGTTTTCCAAATTGTGTAAAATCTTAGAGTTGTACCTATTCGCAAATCTTAAGGTAAAAAGTCTTCAGCTTTTTTCGAATTCTTTAAAAAAAAATTAATAATTTTTCCTAATTTCTTTAACAAAATCACAATATATTCTGATCATAAGAATTGTAAAAATGTTGAGCTATGGTTTTCAGAATACACCATACATAGGGAGGGGGGGGGGGTTGCAGTAATTTATAAAAATACATGTTAAAAAATTGAAATATTCATCTTTTTAATGCTTATTTCGTAATGTTTAATAGTGACGGGTCGCTTTGAAAAGTTCATGTAAAAGTCCGACGGACTAGTCTGAAAAGTTCTACTAGTCCAAACACACTTTTCAAAAGTGGAAAAGTATATTGCGCATGCGTGAAATTAAATTAACTAATTCGTCTGAATTTCTTACAAAGGCAAAATTTACTTAAAAAAAAAAGGAAATGATAAATGTTTACTGACTTTTATAATGTTTTAACGATATTTTCGAATTTTTATTTAATATTTTATTAAAATAAACTCGTGAAAAAATTACCAGAAAATCCAAAGGTTGGAAGTATTTTACAAATGATTTGCATAAGAAAACGAAAATACAAATGCAAATATTGTTCCCACAAAGTGGTTTTGAAAAATATCCAGGATGGAGATTTAACTGTGTGTCACAGTGTTATAAAAGAGTAGAAATAACGTTTTGTGTTGGTACAAAAATTTCTTTAAAACATGCCTATAGAATCCTGCAAACAATGATTTTACCCCTTAAATAACATTCCTATAATTTTTATGACCGGAAAATAAACTACTGTTTACTATCCTTATCTGTCGAATTACTATTTTCGTTTTTAGGGGCAAGATAGGTGCCGTAAGTCCCGAAATTAACTGAATCGTAGCGTTTATCAGTACCAAACATCATACACATAAAAATGATTGAAGTCACTATAAAAACTACTCTTTCAATCTGCTTATTGTTCACTTCTTTTTGCCTAAATTCTTCGTATTGCTGTGCACGTCGTTTGCTCTCCATTTTCTTTCGGAAGGATTCTCCATAGTGGCTTTTCGCCCATTCGTCAAAATCGTATATAGGAGTACGGCCACCAGGGGGCGGAGGCTTGGTTCTTACCTCTCTCGATTTGTGAAAACTGTCTGCCTCTGCTGTCATTTTTTCAGATGGCGGTGAAGTTGTCCTCGGTCTAAAGTATAGGCCTTAAAGTAAAACATAGTTTTTACTCCTAAAAATGTAAAGACTCCTTTACATGGTTCAATTTTATTTATAAATATGATTGAATCAATCAAAATTATTGCATCTGTAAGTATTATTTTCTGTCAAAATGAAACCTTGTATCCTGCTTTGCTTGTATTGGAGTGAATAGTAAATAGCGTTCGCTTGTGCAAAAAGTAAAAGGATGTGGTATGGACGTAGCTAGTTACAGGTTGGTAACGCACTAGACTATGACTTCACCTGTGACTGGAACCATTGATACTGTGTAATTTCTTTTCCTGCATGTGTGAGCGTCATTTACTATTCACCTCAATACAAGCCAAGGCCAAAGGTTTGATCTTGCCAGCACTGTATAGTCAAATTAAGGAGTGATCCACAAAAAAAAATTCTAAACTAGGTACTGGAAAAATCTATGTTTGCTCGGATCATTCAATTCTTCTTCTTAAGATTCAGATTGGATTTAATTCAGAGCCGAGCATAGTTATCACGAATATGACTTGTATCTGTTTTTCTCAGTCATAGCTTACTTTAGCAACATTTATTGTGGATCATTCTTTACTATTAAGTCTGGCAACCATATAATAAATGAACTTAGTCATCTTCATGAATAGTGGTACAAAAAACTCAAATACTAGAATTTCTACTCATAGTAATGCACCAGCAAGGAAGGGTTTACAAACTTGAATAAAAACAATCATAGGAACACAAATGCAACTGCGCAAGCAGATGATATTTAATGATTAATTTCATTTATTGTTTGCAAGACATTATTTATACCTCAATTTTATTCATAATATGGGAAAAAATTAGAACTTATGAAAAGCTAAAGACAAAGTTCTGCAAGACTAGATATGAGTTTTATAAATCCAGTCACTACAGAATATTAACCCTTAAGCACCGTAGTGAAATCAATAGACTTTCCCACTGTAGGGTCGTTTGATTTGAAACTCGATCGAGGAGACAGAGAAGTGACGACGTCATAATAGAGCATTGAATGAAATCAAAACCGAGTAAAAACCTAACCTCGCTTTATATTTTATTATTGTATCTGTGCCAAAACAGAGGGAAAAAAGTGAAGAAAATAGAAAAACTTTTAATAAGGGACAGAGGCCCTGAAATGCCGCATATACTACAAATGCCCGCTTCGCTTTCAGACTTACTGGTGATTAGATCTCAGTAGTGAAAATGAATTTTCCAAACACATTTTATTTTTATTTTTATGGTGAATAATTTTAGCTATGAGACAAAAGCGGATAAATAATTTGTTGACTACACACTTGAATGGTCTCGAATCTCGAATTTTGAGATTCAAGTTTGTTTGTAGGTTAATTAAAAGATATAGGTAAAAACAAAGACAAATTTATCTGTCTTCTCGATCCTTCTGTCAATTAAGTGTCAATTGAAACATGTATGCAGCGCTCGGAGATCTTCTATGATCAAATCAAACGCACCAAGTACTGAGGCGGTCATGACCGACATTTTTTTTGAAATAAATGTGTATGTAAATGAAAATTTGTCATTGGTACAATAAATTACATTAGTTTGAATTAGTTTTATGTGACAAAAGGCAAAAAAGTATAATATTTTTCATTATCTTGTTTTACTTACGGTGACCGACATACAGCATTTGACTATACAGGGTGTTTCCGAACTTGGCGTCCAAATTTGTAGGGGTGGTAGTTCGCATAATTTGAGACCGATTCGCAGATTTCATTTTTCCAAAATATTTTAAATAAAAATAATTAAAAATTTTAAACAGGTACAGTCCTGCACAGCGATGGGACTGCCTCGACTCGCGCGCGCTACGATAATAATATTTAATAATAATAATAATATTAATAATAATAATAATAATAATAATAATAATAATAATATTAATAATAATAATAATAATAATAATAATAATAATAATAATAATAATAATAATAATAATAATAATAATAATAATATTATAATAATAATAATATAATAATAATAATAATAATAATAATAATAATAATAATAATAATAATAATAATAATAATAATAATAATAATTAGGATAGGTGCGACCCAAGGAATACGGTGTATTTTCGGTCCAAACCTAATAAAGAACCAGTGTACCCTTACAACATAAACACTGTGAAACTAAACAATAATAATAATAATAATAATAATAATAATAATAATAATAATAAACCAGACATCACAATAGACCAGACATCGTCATTATCGATAAACAAAAGAAAACAGGATTGATCATCGATATAGCTGTACCACTGTCATATAACGTCACTAAAACCGAGACCGAGAAGATCAGGAAATATGAAAATCTGTCATATGAATTAAAGAACATCTGGAAACTAGACGAAGTCTCCATAGTCCCACTGGTGATGTCAGCGGAGGGAATTATATCGAAACACTTCAGTAAAAATCTCCAAGATATAGGATTATCAAAAAACAGCGAGATATGCACAGAAAGCAGTCATTTTGCAAACCTGCCACATCGTTCGCAGGTTCTTAAACGGTACCTAAGTGGGTTAAACTGAATTGTTTCCCTGCTAGGTTGTCCGAGCTCATACATTTTGTATAGCGAAAAATTATACCAGCATGTGCTGAGAACACGAAAATAATAATAATAATAATAATAATAATAATAATAATAATAATAATAATAATAATAATAATAATAATAATAATAATAATAAAATAATAATAATAATAGGGGGTGGGTTGGCTCAGTGGTTACAGTCATGACTTTGAGATCGGAAGGTCTCAGGTTCGAATCCCACCGTTGGCCGGGATTTTTTCATTTAATTTAATTATTTGAAATTAATTCTGATGCCTTGGTAGGATTCCCCACTCGACCATTCACTGTTGGGTTCTAATTAACAGTGCTGTTCCTAAAGTGGCGCTGGGAAACAGTACCAAAGCCTACACAAAACACGAGGCTAATGGCCGTAGTAGTCGACGCCGATGACACCAAATTAAAAAAAAAAAATAATAATAATAATAATAATAAGCAAGTTCCCCGTGAGGGGAACTTGCAACCCCCATCGGGCGCGTCCTCAGGTGGCGGATCGAGGAAGGCCTTCCAGATATGGAAGGTAGGAGGAAATTTAATTCTTCTCGCGGACCAACAAGGCATCAAAAGCAACTCACTGCTTATAGGAGGGCTAATGGTGAGAGATGTGACTGTTCTCCATGTCAGGAGCGACACCTCGACAGCATCTGTTCCCCATGTTAGGGGCGGCTGATATCTGGGTATCGGAGACCTGCCCCTAGGAGCTTATCCTACAAACCATAAATCTACATATTGGAGAATAACAAAAACAAAGCCTCGGATGATGCGTCAGGGAGCCGGGCTGACCCTGACGTTGACAGTCAGCCCAATGATGATGACAATAATCAGCGAATCAGGACACGAAAACCAGCAACATGTGCTTTGACGGAAAACCATTCCGCCACCACTATTGCTGGAAAACCTAGACAGCGCATGAGTTGGAGTGTAGAATTAAACTCAAGTGTCATGCGTTGCTATTTTAAAGCTACCAACTTAGAATCTGATCTTACATTGTACAGATCTAAAATGCATCAACTTTTTATAACCGAAAATCCACACATTACAGTAACCGAGCAAAGAGTTGCAGATCAAAGAAGAGCAATAGTTAAAAAAGAACTACTGGCAAACACTATAATAGAACACATCAAATCTCAAATAAAAGAAGAATTAAGTGCAAAAGAAAATCCTGAAGAAAAAATAGAGAATGAAACGAACACACAAGAAAATAATGACCAACAAAAACGCAATGAAGAACAAGAAGTGAACAATGACCGACAAACTAACATTAACAATCAAGAAACAACCAATAATAACCAACAAACTGACCTGTTGGACAAATTAAGAGACACCATAAATTGTTACCAAGGCACAGATCCGTTAAGTAGGCCAAACATTCCTAAACAACGTACATCTGCTAAGCTTGCAATAATAGCCGGAGAAATAAATAACCTACTACCAATGCTCAAAGAAACAGTACAGAGCTTCGAAGATCTACATACCCTTATTTATTGTGCTGCTCTATTATGTGTTAAAGAAAATGGCACCAAAGTCTACGACCAAAGTCCTAACGGTGCAAACAAACATTTTAAAGAAAAGCGCAAATGGCAAATAAGACTAGAAAGAAAAATAGTAAATCTCAGAAGCAACATTAATCGCTTAAACCAATATGAGCAAGGAAATAGATCAAAAAACCTAGTGAAAGAAGTGAATAAAATTTTTAAAAACTACAAGCTGCACACTAAATACGAAGAAAATAATGTTGACGTCAAAGAATTTTTAGACACTTTAAAGCAAAAACTAGTAGTTCATGCGAAAAGACTGCGACGTTACACTGAGTGTAAAAGGAGAAAAGAAGAGAACTCTTTATTTCAAACAAGCGAGGGTAAATTTTACAGATTATTACAAACCCAAAATCCTATGGTGCAGACTAAAGGACCCTCACAGTTGGACGTCGAAAATTACTGGTCAAGTTTATGGGCAGATAACAAAAGTCACAAAACTACAGCAAGTTGGATACACGAGGAACAAATTAAAATGCAAAGGATCAACAACATGGATTACAATTACATCACTACAAAAGAGTTAACTGCAAAAATATCAGTGACGCATAACTGGAAAGCGCCTGGAAATGACAGAATACACAATTTTTGGTTAAAAAAATTTACAAACATTCACAAAGAACTAACCAAATACCTAAACATCTTTATTGAAAATCCAGAGAAAATGCCTAAATTTATGACTCAAGGAATTACATATTTACTACCCAAAAATGAGCACACTGAGAATCCCGCAAATTATCGACCAATAACATGTCTCCCTACTATATACAAACTATTGACAGCCTGCATAAGTGAAGCTATATACAAGCATTGCGAGACTAACCACATACTTGCCGAACAACAAAAAGGATGTCGCAAAAACTCTCAAGGTTGTAAGGAGCAGC